AGGGGTCCTCAAACTACCGCCGCGGGCCACATGCGGCCCACCGAAAACATTTATCCAGCCCGCCAGGTGTTTTTGCCACTGCTGCCTGTTGCTTAGCAGCCGACTAGTTTTTTTTTAAACTATAGTCCGGCCCTCCAACGGTTTGAGGGACAGTGAACTGGCCCCCTGTTTAAAAAGTTTGAGGATCCCTGGCCTTAATGGATGGCGTCAATAAAGAAAGCTTAATTATCTAAGTTAATTTGGAACACTTGAGATAGACAACAAATGATCCAAAACCACCAAAATAAAATAGGACAGCAAGAAAGGAGGGTTTGAAACAGCCACCTCTGGCCTTTTGGGTTAAAAGCATGACCTAGTGACTATAGATTTTTTTAAAGCACTGCTCCTTTCACACACATTCACCAAAGTGCTGAGTCAAACTGATGACTGTTCTTGTGAGGACCTACTATTCCACATCGGCACTTAAGCTTTCCTCTCACAGAAAGCAACAAACAAGGGGAAAACAGCATGTGTGACAAAGCATACCAATAGCTATGAGGTATCTTAGGCACATTTTCAGGCCAGTATTGGAGAATGGAAAGAGTAAGCAACTAGAAGTCAAAATACCGGGTTTCCAGTCTTGATTTTGTGACCCTGGACAAGATCCTAACCTTCCCCAGCAGCACTTTCCTCGGCCTTCAGAGCCATCACGTCTCTTCTAGCTCCAACATTCTAACATATCAGCCCCCCTTCACCCACGCGGGCACTGGAAGGAACAGTAGGACCAAGGACCAGATTTGTTTGAATTTGGAGACTGAGTATCATGAGAAGTAAAATGCAATTCAAGAAGCAAGGCCCAGCTCTGTCTGTAACTGAAGTGCAGCCCGGTCTCTCATCTTCCCTCCCCCACCGACCAATCTGCTCCCACACACCTGTCACCTGGTCCACAGAAGCCTGCTTGTCGTGCTGGACATGAGGGGTGAAGAGCCGAACAGTGTTGTAGAGGTGACTTCTGTTGGATTTAGGGATCCCCTCCTTGGTAGCATAGGCCTTATAGAGCCTCTTCATGTAGCGCAAAGCTCTGGAGTCTGGCTGCAGCCTAGGGACCCCACCTTGCCCATCACACAGAACCTTGAAGAGAGGGGAAAGGAGGCCAGATCTGTCCCTCCCATCTAGAGGCTGCAGCAAGGACCAAGGCTCAGCCCCAGGTTCCCATTCAGCACTGGCTGCAATCTGAGCCTCTCCCCTAGAAGCCAGAGAGCCAAGGCTACTGGGAAAACACAGCCAGGAAAGGCAGCCAAACCATAAAAAGAACGTGCTGGGAAGCGCCATGGCCTGGAAGAACTAGCAAGGAACCCAGCCATACCAGTCTTCTTCCTAAAAGCCAGGAAAAACCTAGGTTGACCTCTTAAATAAATTTTAGGTGTGTGGGCGGGTAGGGTCACTTCTGTAATCAGACCTCAAGGATGCCTAGCTGAAGATAATTTTTATCAGCTGTATGTCAAACAGCTGATAACATCCTACTTTTATCCTCATTAGACACGGATTTATTTGCGGGTGTTTTTTTTTTTGGTTTGTTTTTTTGTTTCCTCTTCCTTTCTTCTGGCATTTATTTAAAAACCTCTTGCCCTGACCAATTTGGCTCAGCGGATAGAGCGTTGGCCTGTGGACTCAAGGGTCTCAGGTTCAATTCCGGTCAAGGGCATGTACCTTGGTTGCGGGCACATCCCCAGTAGGGAGTGTGCAGGAGGATCGATGTTTCTAACTCTCTATCCCTCTTCCGTCCTCTCTGTAAAAAATCAATAAAATATATATTATTAAAAAAAACCTCTTAAAGTTATTTTTGTACGAATGCACCAGCTATGTAGCTGAAAGGCTAAGAGAAATTGAGAAATGACCTTAAAATAATCCCCCCCCCTTTTTTTTTAAAGCGATTCGGGTTCTTAAAATGTTCCTTAGGTGCTTGCTGAAACTTCCAAGGCACGTGGAAAAACCAACTAATTATTCATGATGATACAAAGATCTGTTGATATGCAATTTATGGTATTAGTTTACTCTTCCTGTCTCGTCATCCTCACCGCCTCTCCCACTTTCAGGTGCTTAGGATAATTATTTATCACATGTTGATTTGGAGGGTGAGAGAAAGTCCCAGGCGGTACTGGAATTCTAGAGAGCAGAGAACTGTTAGGTTGCCCACATCTTCCAGGTGGCTTCCATAGAATATGTACTTGGAATACAGCAACATGCTTAAAAAAGGAGGTCGTCACCTTTAACCCTGACTCATTTTTAGATATAATGTCCTGATGTCTTTGCTCTGTCTGCACATTCATCGGTACATATTTTGGTTGAAAGGTTTAGAAATTTTTGCAGGTGCTAGAAAATACATGGAAGTTTTATGCACTTACTGTTTCATTCATCACTCAAATGGCGGTAGAATTTCCTAGGCCCTAGGTTATTATGGTTCTTAGCTGTTATGTTCTTGCCTTGGAGCTGAGACCAGGCTAGTGGTCATGTTTTGGGAAAATGAGACAAAGGTGCGCCACGAGTAGCTGAAATGAGGGGCTATCCAGCCGTGGGCAAACTACGGCCCACGGGCCGGATCCGGCCCGTTTGAAATGAATAAAACTAAAAAAAAGAAAAAGACCGGACCCTTTAATGTAATGATGTTTACTTTGAATTTATATTAGTTCACACAAACACTCCATCCATGCTTTTGTTCCGGCCCTCCGGTCCAGTTTAAGAACCCATTGTGGGCCTCGAGTCAAAAAGTTTGCCCACCCCTGGTCCAGTGCCACTCTTAAGGAGACTCTGTGCTGCCCAAAAGGCAAACACAGCCCTAACCGGTTTAGCTCAGAGCGTAGGCCTGCGGACTGAAAGGTCCCAGGTTCGATTCCGGTCAAGGGCATGTACCTTGGTTGCGGGCACATCCCCAGTAGGGGGTGTGCAGGAGGCAGCTGATTGATGTTTCTAACTCTCTACCCTCTCCCTTTCTCTCTGTAAAAAATCAATAAAATATATATTTTTAAAAAGGCAAACACACTCCTGGTACAAGATACAAAACCAGTCCGTGCAGTACTCAGGATGATAACACGGAGGTGTGTTTGCAAATGTTAAGTTCCTTGCCTGCCAAGCTCCCTAGCGTGTGGCTAGGCAGCAGGGTTATAAAACGCACCCAAACGGTTGAACGAGGCCTTGGTCTATATATTGACCACATGGCCAGCAATCTCATGAACAGAACATTTGCAGACACCGCAGCCAGGAGAAGCCAGACGGCTGCACAGGGAGCGGCATCCGCCAGCAGAAAACACCTTCCAAACACAGGCAACGCCTCTCAGCCAACGTCCCTCGCCTCTCCTCCGGGAAAGCGGAGGGGAGGATGTGGGCATCACCATCATGCCCCCCGCCCTCCCCCGCCAGACCTTCTCGGGGAGGAGGGAGCGGTGTGTGTGTGGGGCGGGGGGGGTGGGGAGGCCTGTGCTGGATGCCCTAGGGGTGGCCCCCTCCTTCCTCTTACCACCACTTAACAGCCCTTGATCAATTGCTTGACAACTATTGGGGGCCTTGTGGCAGCATCTCCGGAATGTTTTTATTCTAACCCAGGAAGAAAGAGAAATATCTATACTAATAAAAGGGTAATATGCTAATTAGAGTGGACGTCTTCCAGATGACCTTCTGGACATCCTTCCGGACAAAGGCGCAGCAGCTGCGAAGGGCCGAGGCTCAGGCCGGCAGTGGCAGCAGCAGTAGGGAAATGGGGATGGCGCCTTCCCCTGATCTGCCAGGTCGCCTCCCGCAGAGGGAGGCTAGACTGAGGCTTAGGCCAGGGGCCGAGTCAGAGGCGGTTAGGGGCCATCAGGCTAGCAGGGGGTCAAGTTAGGCAGGCAGAGGTAGTTAGGGGCAATCAGGCCAGGAAGGCGAATGGTTAGGGGCAAGCAGTCTTGGATTGCAAGAGGAATGTCCAACTGCAGGGATTGGGTCTAAACCAGTAGTTGGACATCCCCAGAGGGGTCCTTAATTGTGAGAGGGTGCAGGCCGGGGGGCAGACTTCCCCTGCCCCCTTGCACAAATTTTGTGCACCAGGACAATAGTATATTATAAAATTGTACACCTGAAATTTACATAATGTGAATAACTAATGTCACCTTAATAAGTATAATTAAAAACACTGGCCAGGCCTGCCGGAAGTGGCGGACGGAGACCGGTGGATCCCACGACTGTGGAGGGCGAGGCGCCGCCGCCACCACGGGCCGCGAGTTTGGGAAGCTGACCCGGGTGCGGCACGTGATCACCTACAGCTTGTCGCCCTTCGAGCAGCTCGCCTTCCCGCACTACTTCAGCAAGGGCATCCCCAACGTGCTCCGCTGCATCCAGGCCTCCATCCTGCGCGTCGCGCCGCCATTTGTCGCATTTTATCTTGTCTACACATGGGGGACTGAGGAGTTTGAGAAATCCAGGAGGAAGAATCCAGCCACCTATGAAAATGACCCATGAGCAGCTCATCTGGAGGATGGTTCCCGTCTCTCCTTCCCGCACTACTTCAGCAAGGGCATCCCCAACGTGCTGCGCCGCATCCAGGCCTCCATCCTGCGCGTCGCGCCGCGTGAGTGCCTCGGGCCGGGGACGGGGGGCGGACTCGGTGCCCGGCGGGAACGCCCGCGGTCGGCAGGCGCCCGGCAACTCGCCATGCACACCCGTTCTTCTCATTGAAAATACCGCAAGGCCCCTGAACTGTCATGTCCTCGTCTCCTGTTACGGACGAGGGACCTAAGTCACAGAGAACTTGAATGGGCGGCCCAAGGTCACTTGTGTGACTCCGTCTTCCTCTGAGGTCACTTCGCCCGCTACTTGCTTGGCGGCAACTGCTTTGTGTTACAGTGAAGCAGATAGGATAGTTGCACAACATCGCGAGTTTGGTTAAGTGGTGAAGTTTATGCTGTTAATTTTATTGATTTTTTACAGAGAGGAAGGGAGAGGGATAGAGCTAGAAACATCGATGAGAGAGAGACATCGATCAGCTGCCTCCTGCACACTGGGGATGTGCCCGCAACCAAGGTACATGCCCTTGACCGGAATGGAACCTGGGACCCTTCAGTCCGCAGGCCGGCGCTCTATCCACTGAGCCAAACCGGTCAGGGCAGACCCTTTTCTTTTGGTCACTTATCAAATGGGTATGTAATGTCACCCTTCTTCTGTTTAAATCCGCACCTGATGATGTGTTCATTGGTTTTTAGAGAGGTTTTTGAAAGAAATATCAATGTGGGAAACATCGGTCGGTTGCCTCCTATAGGTGACCCGACCGGGACTCCAACCGCACCCTTCGGGGACTGCGCCCGCCTCCTGCTGGGCCGTCTGGTTTAAAAGGGTTTGTTGGAAACTAGAAACAGGAGGGCAGAATCTGTTGTGATGCAGAAAAGAGGATGGGGACTCTGTTGTCTCATATGTGCTCACTGCTTTTTCTCTCACTTTTGATTTTTAAAGCATTTGTCGCATTTTATCTTGTCTACACATGGGGGACTGAGGAGTTTGAGAAATCCAGGAGGAAGAATCCAGCCACCTATGAAAATGACCAATGAGCAGCTCATCTGGAGGATGGTTCCCGTCTCTGAAAGACCCTTCTCTGGGAGAGGAGTCTGCATTGTGTAGTGTCTTGAAGACACAATAAACTTCTTATGGGCTGCCATGTTGTGATTTTGCATTTTTGTGAGCAGAGTCCTTGGTGTGACTTGCTAATCTTCAAGTTAATGAACTCCCTTCCCCAGAAGAGCCCTGAACCGTTTTGGCTAGTCTGGGAATTTGGTGAAGGAGTGGGGCTCACCCCTTGTTCTACAGTATAATCTCCAAGAAAGTAGCTGCAGCTACTCTTGCAGGCTGGCCAGCTGTGGGTGGCATGGACTGTGGGGAGTGTTGGTTCCCCTCCCTCTGAACCTCTAACAATAATAAAACCTTAACTATGTTGTAATTTCTATGTGTCAGGCACTCTTCTTAGTCCTTTACACAAATGAGCTTTTAAACTTCACAACTACCTTTGAAATATTATTACACTCATTTTGCAGATGAGGACACAGGCACAGGGAGGGTTAACAATTTGGCCAAAATTATATAGATAGTGAAATGGTGGAGTCTGGCACTATAGTATATGTTCTTAAAGTTACACTGTACTGCCTTTTCTCCTAAGGCAGGCCTTCTGTAGTTAGCCTGAGGGGAAGTGAGCTATAAAAGGAGGGGTGAGGTGACCCCTTGACCTCTAGAGGTGCGGCAACACCCTGGCTATTTGTACCAGATTGCTAACAGTGGTTCTTAACCAGATATGCCCCATAAAGCCTAAAATATTTACTCTCTGGCCTTTTATGAAAAAAGTTTACTCCTGGAGCCTTTGAATATATATTTTGGTAGAAAAGTTTTATTTTTTTAACAAAATACTAAATATATTCATCACTGGGGCTAAACTGGAGACAACAAACAACAAATATGACACTACAGCTAAACATGGAGTCCTATACAGAAATAAGTCAAGGACAGAAAATCAGGAAAAAGCACAGGTCCTGGCCAGGTAGCTCAATTGGTTAGAGCAGCGGTTCTCAACCTGTGGGTGGCGGCCCCTTTGGGGGTTAAATGACG